TTCTGAGGGAGCGTCTCCAGACCAGCGGAAACGAAGTTCAGTCGGGAGAATCTGGACTTTGTGGGGAGAATGCCTTCTCCAGGGACTCGGGTGCTTTGTGCTCTGTTTTCTCGGTGCGTGAACCCCTCCCTCTGGATTGACTGGTCTTTGCTCATCCCAGGCCTCCTCTTCCATCTCGTTGGTGTGAATCTGGTCAGATTCTTCCAGCATCAGCTCCTTGTTACCTCTGACAGCCCAACGCATTGACGTTTTCATTGAGTGACTCAGAGCCCCGCGTGGCTGGAAAGACATCGCCATCTAGCTCCTTCGCCAGAGGTCAGAGGGCTCGACTCTTCATTGGTCAGAATGTCCTTTGCTTTCTGCACTTTCTGGAAAGGCTCCACAGCTTTGGAATTTTCAGGATGCTTGTCAGGGTGACAGTCCAAGGCTCTTATCTTAAATTCTGCCAAGATTTGTTCAACTGAAGACAGTTCATCACATCCCAATAACGTGTAGTAATCTTCAGTGTCTTCCAGAGTTTTAAACCTCTTTCTACTTAAAACTATAACAAGGATCAGGTTTCCCATTTGGAATGACTGAGGCAGAAATACTGCACTAACTGCAAGTATCTGCAGCATGGCGTCAGGTCCCAGGGCAAGAAAGACGAGTTAGGTCTTAGGAGAGAGGCTGGAAGGGCTGCAGAAGTAATCCCACTTCCTGCTTTCAAGGTCTCTTCCCTGAATCCATCCTGAGTGGGAAGAGGGAGTACAGATTTCCAGACCTCCTGTTCCAAAGGGACCTCCCGGCCCATTATGTCATATGATAATTCCATTGATGTCATACAGCAATTCAGTTGTTTGTCTACAACCTTAGTTGGCCTTTTCTCTCTGGTGACATTGCAACAACAAAAAAAATTTTAAGTCCAATTCTGACTCCCTCTCAGGGGCCTAATTCTACCCCATGCCCTCCTTAACTGCAAGCAGAGGTTCTGAGAATTGTTGAAGGATACCAAAGCGACCCAATCTCTAATGTAACATAAGGGCAACATTTGTTGAGTCTTCAAAGCACAAAGGCTCAGACCCATCATGTGGAGGAGGGAGGCCTTTAGCAGGAGGTCAGAGTGGTGTCTCAGTATTCACAGGCAGGAGGCGAACAAAGGAAATCATCACCAATTTATGACTACTGTTTGGATAAGGAACAGATATAATTTTACACACACATACACACATGAGCCCTGGTGCAGTTGTGACACAATGGACTGCAATCCCAAAGGTCGGCAGTTAGAAACCACCAGCGCTCCTTTTTCAGCTTGTCTTTCTCTGCTTCCTTTTTCTTCTCTGTGGTTTCTCTTCTCTTCGGTTCTCTTCCCTTCTTTCTCTTGTTTTTCTGTTCTCCTAGGTCCCCCCTTTTTTCTCCTTTGCTTTTCTTCTCTTCCCTCCCCAGTTTTGCTTACTGTATTTTTAAACTTTCATTTGCTTTGTGTTTTCCTTTGATTCGTCATCAGATAATTTTTCTTGTTCTTTTATGCCAATTTCCCCGCCTGTATTTTTATTATTATTTTCTTTCTTGACAGCCGTTTGTTCTCTCTCTTTCTCTTTCCTCTTGTCCCACCTGATGGACGACAGCAGTCATGTCCACATGGCCCAGCAATATCTATACCTCCTGCAGTCACACCTACTGGGTGACGGCCCCACCTACTCTGAACCACCTAATCATTGGTAATCCGAAGGCCCAGTCAAACCTGCCGTTGGTTGTGCTCTCCACACAGCAAGCAGAGATCTGAGGACACACTCACGTTCTCTTTCTCTGTCACACCCCACAGAGGCCAGGTGGGCAATGGCCGAGGTCTCGCCAACCTCCAGTCATGGAGTCATCAGTACAAATGCACCACCATCCAAATACCTCGGATACAGAAGACAAGCTTCAGTTTACCTGAAGAAACAAGACAGAGTGGATGAAGCAAGAGAACAAAATCCCGAGCCAGACCACCTTCCTCAAGAAGGAATGGCATTGCAAGTGTCTAGTAAGAAATTCAAAAGAATGATTTTAAAGAAATCATTCTATTGGGGGCTCATACAACTCTTAATCACAACCCATCCATCCATCCATTGTGTCAAGCACATTTGTACATTTGTTCCAGTCGTCATTCTCAAAACATTTTATTTCTACTTGAGCCCTTGGTATCAGCTCTTCATTTCCCCCCTCCCTCCCTCACGAACCCTTATGAATTTATCACTTATGATTACTTTTTCATGTCTTACACTGACCGATGTCTCCCTTCACCCACCTTTCTGTTGTCCATCCACCAGGGAGGGGGTTATATGTAGATCATTGTGATCGGTTCCTCCTTTCTTCCCCCCACCTTCCCCTTAACCCCCTGGTATCGATACTCACATCACTAGTCCTGAGGGGTTTGTCTGTTCTGGATTCCCTGTGTTTCCAGCTCTTACCTGTACCAGTGTACATGCTCTGGTCCAGCCAGATTTGTAAGGTAGAATTGGGATCATGATAGTGGTGGGGAGCAAGCATCAAAGAACTAGAGGAAAGTTGTATGTTTCATCAGTGCTATACTGTAAAAGAATGATTTTTAGATTCCCTCAAGAGGAAGATTACCTTGGGAGAAAGATCAGGAAAGCTGCTTAGGAAAACAAGAAAAACACACAAAAAAACAAACAAACTTTGAAGACTTCAGGAAAACAATGCCAGAACAAACTGATAAAATAAGCAAAAAATTAGAGACCGTGTGAAAACATCAAATAGAAATCCATAAGATGGATACTACAATTTCAGAACTAGGTAATGCACTGAAAGAGCAGAGGAGCAGACATGAATATTATATGACTGGATTAGTGCGCTTGAAGACGAGTCTTTCAAGAGGAACAATCAGAGAAAAGAACCAGAAAGTTCAAAGTAAGCCTAAGAATTATTGGGATGCCATCAAGAGGAATGATTTACATGTAATGAGACTTCCAGAATTGAACGAGACAACAGAAAAAAAAAAATCACATTAGAAGTTCCTGAATAGAGTGGCAGAAACATGCGGAACTCAAAACCATAAAAGAGTCTAGGCTTACCGATTGGATAGATACAGGTGGAACCCCCGACTTCGTCACCCTTCACGTCTGAACCTGAACTTACCTCTCTAGTGGAATAATCAAGCAATTAAGATAAAAAAGGGCAACATCCCAATGATAGCATTCAAAGAGTTCGTGGAGATGGAGGAATGGAAGTAGGAAACCCAGAAAGAAAGTGTAACAAATGATATTCTGCTCTCTAAACCTTCAGAATCACAAGTTTCACAAAGAAACTAAGCACATACACAGGGACTCTAATACACGGGATAACGAACAGGTAAGAGCTCTGGGCACATGGGATCCAGGACAGATAACCCTCTCAGGAGCAATCATGGGAATAGTGATACCACGAGGGCAGGGGGAAGGTGGGGGAAGAAAGGGGGAACTGATTGCAGTGATTGATGTTTAAGCCCTCCCCCCCAGGGTGATGAACAACAGAAACATGGGTGAAGGGAGACAGTGGACGGTGTAATATAAAAATAGCAATAATTTAAATTTATCAAGAGTTCATGAGGGCTGGGGTAGGGAGGAAAATCAGGATGACACCAAGGGCTCACGCAGAAAGAAAACGTTTTGGAAAGGATGATGGCAGCACATGTACAAATGTGCTTGACACAATGGATGTTAAGATTGTTATAAGAGCCCCCAAAAAAATGATTTTTAAAAGAATACATGGTAAAAAAAAAAAGAATACATGGTATAAGCATGCTATCAAACATAATAAAAGCACAAACCAAAAAACAATCGGAGACAAATGATGACTGGGAACCTCCTAAAAATCAAAAGATTTTACCAAAAGAGTAACACGCAGACTAGAGAAAAGATATTTGTCAATAACATATTGAACAAGGGGCAAATGTCTACGTTTATGGAAAATTTAAATACCTCAACTTGAAAAAAACAAACCACCCAACTTAAATATGGGCAGAGAACGTGAACAGACACATCACCAAAGAAGATGTACAAGCAACTAAAAACACAAAGACGTGTGCTATAGTTAGCCATTTGAGAGATACAAATCAAAACCATAATGAGATACCACCTCATCCCAGCATTAATAGCAAAGTTAAAAACAAGCAAACAGAAGAAAAGCAAACACACCAATGTGGTGACTCCACATCCGGTTGTCACTACTCTTCCGGATTGCTTCCATCCATCCTTCCTGGGCCCTTCTTCCTGAGCATGAGCAGATGTGTCCCCGATCCCTGCGCCATCCTCACTCCTTGCTTTCCACCCCTATGCCCTCTTATACGGCTGCAACTACAGTAACTATAAAAGGGGCACTTGTTCTTTTCTTTAACGATTGGCATATTTTGTTTTTTATGACATTAACTTAATTATACATGATGTATTAAATCATGTAATTCTCAGAAGAAGATGTTGCTTCCCAAGCCAATATAATTCAGATAGAGTTGTTAGAAACTGAATTTCCCATTACTGAGGTAGAAACACAATAATGAGTGAGATACTATTTTTAACTCATCATAAGATGAGTCATTCTCAAAGTCTTAATCAATTCCCCACAGATATTGGAAATCTTTTTCAAAACCATACCAAAATCATCTGCCTCATAATTCTGATAGGCATCAATAAAGCAGTATCGCTGGTGCATCATGAGTTTCCTTTGAGGAGTTGACTCTGGTTCCCCCAGGATGCGTCTTCCCAAAGAACCACCTTCTTATTTTTCCTAGTGTGATTCCAGAAGCTGGAGTCACATGGATGGACCAGCCTTAATTTTGAGAATGTCTGTTTTTAATGGGAAACCTTTGTTCTTAACTGTATAATGTTTCATGTACCTATGTCTAAACCTGATTGGGCCATCAATAAATATTGTAGTAAATTTTATTTATAAATTTAAAATACAAAAGAATTTTGTCATATTTAACTTTTCTGAAAATCACATCATATTTTGGTGTAGTATCTACATATGTTAAAAAACAAAGACTAGAGCATGTTCCCAAGGTCTGTGGCTCGTGTGGCCATCTGATCTCCTACTGCATGCACGAGCAACCTGGAGAGATGGGGACCGCTCAGGTCAGCAAAGGATCTGCAGCTGCCACGTGCCTTTCTGATAACATTCCCAGGATCTGGACAAGGAAGCCTCCTACCTAAGTCCAGTTTTCCATCAGCTCCCATGTAGATCTGTGGCTAGTAAAACAGCCTTGAAATGTGATGAAGCACAAAAGATCTAGAATTTTGAGCACTGAAGCACTATGGGAAGAAAGAACTTCAAGCAGGCTACTTCATATGCAGCAGAAAAAATGTTAAATGTACCTGGTTTAATAAATAAAAAAGACTTGTGGGAAAAAGCAAAAGTAAAAACCTAAAAACAAAACAAAGCAAACAAAACTCCCAAAACTATAAAGTCTGCCTTGAATCCTTGTAAATATCTCTATGTAACTGTAACCATTTGTCATTTTCACCTTCATTATTAATATGCAAAATATAAATGAGCAAAATATATATATATATAAATGAGCAAATATATATATATATAAATGAGCATCTGGACATCAACTATATATCAAACTCTAGACATGCTTTTTTTTTCTTTCCTAAACTAGTTTCAGTGATTGATGTCACTGTACATAATCGGTAAATAAAACATTGGAGTTTGGGAGAATGCTTGAAAAAGAAACACACCCCAAAACTCTCAAACAAACCAAAATCAACAAATAACAACAAAAGAATACCCAGAAATCAATCAATGTGGGCGAGGGTATGGAAAGACTGACCCCTCACACACTGCTGATGGGGTTACAAACAGTGCAACTGCTGTGGAAAGCAGTGTAGTGCTTCCACAAAAATTGGGACTATAAATACCTTAGAACACTAAACTGATGGCCACTGAGTTGAAACGACTCCTAGTGACCTTATAGGACAGGATGGAACTGCCCCTGTGAGTTTCCGAGACATCACTCTTTTACAGTAGTGAGGCCCATCTTTCTTCTGTGGAGTGCCCGGGGGTTTTAAACAGCTGACCTTGAGGTTAGCAGCCAAATGAGTAACCACTATACCACCAGAGCTCCTAGAAATACCATATGACCCAGCAATTCCTATTCATGTATAAATCCCAAAGAAATAAGAGCTGTGACACAAATAGAAACATGCACACTCTTGTTCATCTCAGCCCTACTCACAATAATGAAAAGATGGAAAAATCCTGAAAACCCATCAGTGGAAGAATGGATGAAAAAACTTCAATATGTACTCACAATGGGATACTACACAATGTTAAAGAACAGCGATGATGGTGATGAAACACCTCAACATGCATGAACCTGGGGGACACGGTCCTAAGTGAAATGAGTCAACCACAAAAGGACAATTAGTGTGAAACCACTATGATAAGAAGTCAAGAAAGTGTTTTTACAATAAAAGAATCCCACACCCGCTGAAGAAAAATGTGAACATAAGCAAAGGTGGTGAAGAAAGCTGATGGTGCCCGGCTACCATAAAATATTGCATCCGGGGTCTTAAAGGCTTGAAGACATACAAGTGGCCATTTAGCTGAGAAGCATCAAAACCCATATGGAAGAAGCATACCAGCCTGTCTGACCACGAGGTGTAGAAGGGATCATTTATCAGACATCAAAGAACTTAAAATCATATCAGTGGGTGCTCGCTCTACTGACACAATCACTGAAGACAAACGTGTACATAAGCAAATGTGGTGAAGAGAGCT